TTACTCGAAGATGTGCAGAATATTAAGGAAATAAACTGGAAATGGAAGACTATTTTAAATAAACGAACCGGCCGTGAATCGTGGCTTTGTTTGCTGGGCGTTGTGTGTGTTTGGCAGAATTGCCGCTGCATAATACAACTCAAATTACCCTAAAGGTCTCGCTAATAGACGTTAAGCTGAACCATGCCAATTTTTTATGACTGTTGAAGGCTGTTAAATAAAATTATTATTATTTATTAATAATTAAAGATATTTCGATAAAAAATAAATTGCTGCTTCTCGCAATTGCATCATAATCCCCACTCAAGGTCATCTGATCAAGTCCTTCTCAATTAACCTCAAGTTCCTTTTAAGATTGTCACGTACCCATCGCGTTCTTCTCGGGTTCATTTCAATCTCTTCAAGCTATTCCCAGAAACTTTACATTTCGTTTCTCTTTTTACATTGAAAATGGTTCAATCTGGTACTGAACTAAGAAAAGAAATATTAAAGGCTTAAAAGAACAATACGGATGCTGTATAGCCATGAAAAATATATTTAGCGGTTTTAAAATATATACAGTGTCCCAGGTTGAACGCACCGTAGGGAAAAAATCCACGAGGCCTCTGATATGTATTTGAAGTTTGTGTTCAACGTACGTTATTGCGTTTGCCTCATGCTAGAAAAAGAATGAAGTAGTACGTTGAACGCTTATTTCAAAGGCCTCGTGGATCTTTGGTGAAAAATGCATTGCAGTTTCCCTATGGTGCGTGCTACACTGTATATTTGGGTGAAAGTAACTGAAATTTCGAAATTGAAATGGTACGCCCTGTATATTTTTACACTTGTGCATTTTACAGACAACTTAAAATATGATACTTGGTTTTTAGTGCATTTTGTAAGCTTATTTGTAAAATGGTAGCTTTAAACTAACTTTGGCCGGGTGGCTGGATGGCTGGTAGCAAATTTCGGCCCGTAGAAAAACGCTTATAGAAAGACGTGGAGTATACATACGTATGTACTTCCCGTGGCCGTCTAATTAACAACGTGCTGTTGCTGTTGACTGTTGTAATGTCACACAATACATACCACCATCAGTGCGTTGTTTTAATTGCAAACTTTTTGGTCGCATTGTAGAAAAGTGCCAAGTAAAAAAGAAATATTCATATGGAAGACCTCCACATGATCCACCATGTGAGGAGCCGAAGACATGCGTTAACTATGAAGGACCTCATTCAAATAATGCCTAAAATGAAAAATCTGTAATTACTACAGATAATACTAACATACAATAGACATGGATATGATTCAACTAGCTGCGATTGAAAGCATATCTTTGATTGGAGGCAATGTTGGTCGAACGCGTTTACTATGGTGGAATAATGAGATTGCCAAAGCAATTAAAGTTAAAAAACGTGCGTTAAAAAAATGTTACAATAGAAAACATGATTTCGTATAAAGCTCGAGCCATATGTAGACGGCTTATGCTAGAAACCCCTAAGGAAAAACTACATATCAACCATAATGTCAGATTCTTCAATGGCAGATGTCTGGAATAAAGTGAGAGCAATTAATGGTAGAAGATCACATCGATAGATAATACACTTAAGATCTAGCGACGGTAACATTCTAAGTGACACCGCGGAAATCGCAAATGCCATGGTCCATTACTTCGCAAGTATAAGAAGTAGCACTACAAACTACAGCGCGGAATTTAGGTCTACTAAAATGGAAAGAGAAACTCAAGTGATTTGAGCCTGCTCCTGGGGCTGATATAATCAATTATCAACCTCCCGGACAGATTAAAGAGCACTGCTAATCCTTTCCGGGAAATAAATGTGTGTATCTTCGAGAACGTTCTAGAAGGAGTATTGTTTGGTATAAGCAAGTTGAATTGTGCTAGTTAGTGAGTTCCAACATCGAGACCCAAACGATGAATAGTAATTTCGTGCTTATATGTGATAATGATAAATATACGTGTTTCGTGTCATTTGCCAGTTAGTTAAAAATAATAATTATCTGTCTATCTAGGTACTATTTAAGGACTGTTATAAATTAATTATTGATTAATTTGTAAATAACTAAATCGCGTAATTGAATTTACGTTACAGTAACTATCATTTCGATTATAATTAAAATTCTCCTGACGATCATAACTCGTTTCACGGGAGAAGATCTCTTTCATGTTCAAGATATTCTTCTAACGAAAACCTTAGAACTACAGAATTGATTCACGAAGCGACATTATTTTGCCTTATACAGTGTAAAAATTTTGTCTGGAACACTGGATTATATCTTTTTACGAAGAATTTTTCCTAGTGTCCACAATTATAGAAAGCTTGCTACCAATGTACGTATTTAAAATTTGTGATCAGTGGCATACTTCGGCATGTCGTCAAGGGGGCGTATTTTTTTTCAACTGCTTGTTTTCGCTACATATTATTACACTTAAAGACTGTGAACAGTGGCTTATGTCTGTATTCAGCTGCTAAAGAAAAAAAAACATGAAAATAAAGAAACAAAGTATTTGATATTATTACAAAAAACAACTAAATAAAAAATTGTTAATCGATCTAGTGTTCGAATTGTTCTCCATTTAAATTTAAATTTTGTTATGTAATTAGGTAGTAATTTTTTACGTTTTGCTCGCTTTGACTCTGAAGCGGTACGCCACTGACCACAATTTTAAAATATGTAGATTGGTAGCATAATTTTGGATGCCATAAAACACTTTTTTAAAAAAATGATGTTTTGAAGATATATTGTGTTCTAGACAAAATGTCCACACTGTGTACATTCGTTATTTTCAATTTTAATTAAAGTTAGCGCACTAAAGAAGGAATATTTTCAAATTATATACTAGTATTATTAACCATTCATAGACGTAGGTTGTATTCGAGGGGGGGGGGGGGGGGGTCCAGACGAATTGAAATGTTCTCTCACGTTTTCTTCTCCAATCCGCCAATGGAGAAGCCCTGGCACCCTGATAGCGCCCTTGTGAAGAACGTTATTTTCTATTTCTATCCGCATTTCTAAAATGATTCGATTTCTTAGTGTAGTACCACTGTTCTCATTTGTTGTACTTCGTTTCATTTGCGACTTTTTACATTTGTCAAATGGTTTCAAAATTGGTAGCTAACACTGGAACTCTTATTGCCGGTAAAGTAACAAAATCTGAAACAAAAACACCAACATCCAACAAGATAGAAGAGTTTTAGTTGTTCCCCGACGCATCCCAAAAACGGAAGCCATCCCCTCCCTTAACGGTTTTCGTCCTCTTTGGAGCCAATGCTTCCCATTCACTCCATTGCGTCTTTGGTGTGAAAAGATGAAACCACGGCTATGAATTGACGCAGAAATTCGGTTATACGGTGATAGTTTACCAAACACTATTGCCTGTCCAATAAATCCGACAAACCTTTCATGCCCGAACATATTATCATCTACCCTCTTGGTCACCCGCGTGAAGCCTTTGCATGTTTGCAACATGAATAACTAAATATGCTGAAAAGCTTAAAAGTTAATTTATCATTTTCTTGACTCTTAATAGCCTCCTCGAGGAATTGGTCCCGTTTTAGGCTGAAGTAGAAAATCACTTGCGAAATAATGCCAATAAAACGTACAAAAAGCTGCCGAAAAACGCAATTTCAACGTATAAAAATGATATAGGTATTTGAACACGCCAATGTTAATTCAATGGTCATTGATTTGGAATAAAGAAACACTTGATCATTTAAGGGAGGTTTAGAAAATGCGAATGTTTTGTAACAAAATTCCATCAATTTCGTTTTTCTGCGTTTTAATATTGTAGCGTATACCATTAAATAAGAAGAAATATGTCATTCCCCTAACAAATATATATTTTTAAATACAACAACAAATCAAATCAGATTTCGGGAAAAGCTTACCGCACAAATACAAGGATAATAAATTTGAAATGGAAAATGATTGTGCCATCCGTAATGTCCTAATTTTGGAAAAAAAATACGCGAACGGAAAGCTCACGTGTTTTCCTTATATATGTAAAATCAGTGTAGGTTATAAAGTTTAATATTGATAGTAAACATCTGTCAATATTGATAATAACGGTCGTATTTCGCAGCTGAATAGCACAAATCATGCGAGGTGCTGCACGCAGGGAGCCAGGCACTGCGTAGCAAATCAGCGGCGCCCGCCAATCGGGCATTGATGAAACTCACCCCCAACTTTCAGTCCGTGATTGGATGCTATTTATGATAAATTGTTGTTACGACAAAATATTACCTATTTTTTTAACGTAAACAACGTCAAACCTACCAAACAAAAAACACGCGTGTAGATCCCATCAATATGAGAAAGCTTTGATAATTTCACTTCAACACAAGAAAAGGGGAAATTATTAATTTATAAGCTACCTGCCAAAAGCTTCCATCCAATTTTCTAAGCTTTTATTACGAAAATGTATTCGATTATATTTATTAATAAATAAATAAGCCGAAAGAGTGACGCAACCAAAATATTTTTGGTTAGGAAGCAATCGCCCCCTTCCCAAACACAAAATTTTTAAGTAGGTAATTATTATGTAATAATTCAATTATTACCTTCAATCAATTACACTATTAATAGGCGGGAGCGTGTTTGTAATGATACAATCAAGCTAAAATTAAACTCGTTTGTTATAGAAATATGTTGTCATTAGCCGCAATCAATCTGCGGGTAATTGTTTAATAACCCCAATTTACGCCGTCGCCGTTTTACTACTAAACTAATTGACTTTTGATTTAATTTTTACTTTAATTCTATTTCGTATCCGACTCCTTCACAACAAGCACGTAATTTATGCGGTTGACAAGGTAAAATGATTAATTATTTAAATTACAGCTAGCCATTAATGGGCATTTAACTACTTCATTTATTGATTGTCTCAGTGTAACTGTTCCTTAGTTTAATTTCCTTTTGCTATTGATTAATTCGAAAAAAACTTTCTAATGTTGGCATATTGGTAAGCTCACCATTTTTTTCACTAGTAATAAATAAATAACAAAGGTAACATTATGTATATTAATTGAAACACTAATAAACACAACATAAGACCAATTAACCCCATTTTGCTATTGTTTAATCTACCGCACCTCTTCAACACGCAACCTACAAGAATAATTGTCCAAGAGAAGACTCCTGTGGCACACGAACGGAACGGTGTTTAGGAAAACTTACGTTGGACATAATCGTGGAATACCTTAATCGCTTCAAACACCTCTGAAACTACCCCCAAAATCCTTTCCGGTGGCATTTCAAAGCGACCCTCATACGTAGTATTGACGTAAGCTTCCAATTCGACGGTGTAGGCAAGTTTGATCCCGAGAACACTGTAAACCCAATCGCGACTGACTCCCGATCCCGTATTTACAATTCCCGCCGAACTTCCGACTCGGTACACCGTTTTGTTAACGTTGTAAACCGCTTCGGCCGCTTCAATTCCCAACTGCCGCAGTTCCGCCTCATTCTCTGGCGTGGAATTTGAATGGCCGAAGGGATACAGAAATCCTTGCGCCGCTGTATGTATGCTCAGGTACAGCCTTGTTCGATTAGCGTAGTGCGAGATAACCTGGCTGAGAGCTTGGGTTTCCGGTTCGGAAAACGGCTTCGTTCCTGGGTAGAAGATTCCACATTCATCGTCGCTCGATGTCCACTCGACATCAAAGTTGCGATTGAGGTCAACGCCGTCGCAGATCTTCCCCTTGGAGCGGTTTTTTCTCCACGAGCGGTCCTGTGGAACAACAAGACGATTTCGATACCGAGCAAAATGGAACTTACGGTCGTATGGGTGTACTCGTATCCATCGGGATTGGCCAACGGGACAATTACCCAATCCACGCGCTCAACTAGCGCCCGATTCTTCGGGTTTTGCACAAGTTGGTCAATTATGTAGAGCGCTTGGGCTGGTCCAAGCCATTCTCTTCCATGCACGCCTGCGTCCACGAATATCAACGGTTTCCCATCACTACCTCCTGATGATATCGTTATCAACGTAAGATTTCGGTTTTCATATGAAAGGCCGTAATTCTTCACACAAACCAAATCTTGGTACCTAGTTTCCAGTTTTTCAAGATATTCTAGAATCTATAGAAACAAATTAATAAGACGTCTTGAAACCTGCACTCACCTCTGAATAACGCACGTATCGATCAAAAGGTATATTTTCATTTCTAATTGACCCTGACGCCAAGCTGAAACAGTGAATCGTTTAGATTTGTTTGTGTAATTTTTACCTTGAAACTACGTACAATAAGCAAATTATAAATAGTAGTCCGCTTCGGGAGAACATCTCTATACAATGTCACTGCCAAGCCACTCATGGATAGATAACTTATCCGTACAGACGACCTCGATTTATTGTACACATGTTGATAATGAACACCCACCAACTGTTAGCGCAGGAACGGTAGAAAACACTGGAGTTAATTGGTAATTAATGTTTGCCTCGTGGATAGGTATCTCTTTCTAATTACACTAGCACCATGTTCTTTCAAATGTTCACTAAGGACGTCCTATGTGAACACATTTGTTACCATGGAAATTAGCCGTTTGATAAGCTCTGAGATAAGAAAACCCGGCGGTAAAAAGTCCATCACATTATTGAAAACCAGCTAGTAGCCACTTCAGGGTATTCAAGAATATTTTAAAAAACCTTAGAGTTGATCGGAAGAAGACGCTCAAATGAGAGAAAGTGATGAAATTTATGTCGGTAATAGAAAAAATATACGATTATTTTCACGTCTGTACCTCTTAATTTTGGATTCGGGAGGTTCACCATAAACCCCTCTTGCTGACTTCCCTAAAATTCTAATTATAAAATAAGTTGGAAGTTTCTTCGTTGAATACGGAACCGTAACGTCTTTTAGAGTTACTCGTTTAGTTTACATTGAAAAGATATTTTGGAAAGCAAATGCAGCATCAACACCATCGAATGTGGTCGTGAATCCTTTTGTTTTCTATTTTCTGGTATTCTTTGGGTAAAACAGTCATTCTAACATCTTTCTGAACGAGACACACAAAGAAAAGGTTTGCATATATAATGCAGAATATTTTAAAAGCCGTCCAATCAATTCCAAAAACATCAATATGCCAATCTTTTATCTATGCCATTTAATATTTTAAGGGTTGTAGTTACAGTACAAAAATAGAATATGTTCTAAAGGATGACTTGCTGAAGATATGACTGCTAGGGGCAGTTTCGGACACCTTTGGAAATACTCAATAGTTCCTTCCAAACTTTAGCGTTCATTCAAACCCAAAGTTTCATTATCGTACATGCAAAAAGTTATATTAAAAAAATAGAGAAGTGTTTATGAATCAATTATTATGTCGCACTGAAGCATTTGAGGTTCAAAATAGTGCATCCTCTTTCCATCTGCACTACAAGACCTTAGAAGTTACCTAGAAAGTACGGGATGGGCCTAAAAACCTTTGAAAATAAGCAACACATTTGTGGAAGGCTTTAGAAAGAAGTGGATGCATTCTAGACATTTTTGGCTTGCCCGTTGGTAAACAGTTTTTTGCGGACCCGGGAAAGCAGTTAAGCAATGGAAAACCCTAGAAAATATTTCATGAAGGCCTTTCAGAAAACCCTAGCGTCTTTTGTAAAACTCTACACAGTTTTTTTACGCAAAACCGTCCTGAAACCTTCATTTTCATGCCTACTTTATGTCAGGAAATTTGAGTTTCCATGACAGAGGCAGAGCAGACTACGTTTCCGGCCGCAGCTGTCACTTTACCGGCCCCATTTGTGACATTTATAATGTCTATAATGACTCCTGTCATCACTCACAGATTGACTTTAATCAAAAGTTTTATATACAAATTGAAATATTGTATTAAAATACGATTTCGGGTAAAATTTAATACAAAACTCGTCAGTAAAATGACATTACTCGACTCGGAAATTAAAGTACTCGGCCCCAAAGGGCCTCGCACTTCAATATTTCCTCGCCAGTAATGTGTCATCTTCCTGACTTTTATGTAAATAGCTATTACCTACATTCCGGAGCTTTTTGGGTGCTTTCCGGTACCCGCTAAGTAGTTTCTATAGCGTTTCAGAGTTCTAGGTTCTTTATACAGTTTTATAAGCCCTTTCCAAACCTTTTTAAATATTGTAATTTAAATTTAATTACGTGCTTCATTTATTTATAAATAATTAACAACAGATTTATAACAGATAAAATATTATTTATCGCTCACATATGCAAAATTTATAACAGCGCTAACTATTTACTACTATGCGATCAAAAATTAGTTGCTGTCGCGTCGCCTTTGAAATTTTTGTTTACATGGAAAATCGTATTTAACTTGAACTTCCAAAGGCAACTCGACAGCATTAATTTTGACTTTATTTTTGAATGGGCGTGGTTTCAGCCAAGGCTGCTCTACCAACCTAGCCCACTATACATTTACAAATATCCATGTCCGAACCCGAATTCCAACCAGGGCCCCTAGCATCACAGTTCAGCTTTAACTGAACTGCGCCACACCGGCCGGCGACAGTTGTTCTAGAATGTTCTTGAATAAACACATCATTTTACCGCCGATGACTAATCTTTCATGGCGCCTCGATGTCTATTTAGATTTCTGGAATGTTCGCTACAATATGTTTCAATGAATTCTAGGCCATATCCTGGACTAGGCGCGGTCTGAAAACTCAGGAAATTCTCTCAAAGTGCTGGAAGACACTATGGAGTGGATCAAACCTATAATTCTGGATGTAATCTGCAATGGTAGGTTGAACAATTGTAGATTAGGTCTTCAATTTTTATAGATTACTGTCGCTGGATTAATTTGCAACTGTCACACGTAAAATTCTGTTAATTCTACGTCCAAATTTCTTCAACTTTGAGGTAACTGGTTAATCAAATAAACAGGAAAGTAGCACAATTTGGAAAATGCAATTTTTAAGAAAGAAAAAATATTCTTGCTGCAAAGTTAATTTTAATCTTTCTCTTCCAACCTTTTCGTTATGTTTCGCAACTGCTGTCTGCAAAGTACTATCCATGGATATGGACAAAAAATGGCCATGTAACGAAATCGACGGGTACCGAACTAAAATGTAAATGAACCATGGAGCGGATGGGTTGGGGGTAGTTCGGAGGCAAACACACTAAAAATCTCCATAAGTGGGATACGCGGGTCTTCTGGAAACATGACTAGACTTTTCGGTCATAACCCGAAAACTCTTCAGAACAATATGGTCTCGCCAGAGTTTCTACCAACAGCTTCAGTAAACGATTCGAATGCGATTTGCTCTTCAGAGAATGTGCTACCCTTAGGTCCGAACTGTTTCAGAAACCTATCAAGGAATATGTCTGCTGCGCAACAAACTCTAGCACTACACACGGAAACGAGGAGACATTTCTGCGTGATCCAGTTATTTATGGGACTAAATGGCTTGAACAGCTAAAATTCCCTTTTCATTTGGAGGCACCAATTTGAAAGAGGTGTCCAAGGGAAGACCAGATCGTGCTATATTTAGGCTATAATTTTAACTGCTCAGTGGCATACCTCAAATGTGTCTTCATGAACAACCATAAGAAGCTAGAATATCCCCATCATCATGAAGATTTTTTGAAACCTTTTTGTTTTGATGGTGTGATAGTATCCCCACCATTCTCTCCTTCCAACAAGAAGATATTCAGAAGTACTTATACAAATAAATTAGTCATTTTTTTAATAATTACGAAGTACCTTCGGAAGCATAATATACTTACATAGGGATTTCTTATGTCTAGTTTTTAATAACAAAAACTCTTCTGAAGGACGCCTAACTTTAAGCAGCCAAACTAACTTCTTACAACAAATGAAGATTTTTCTGTCATTAATTAATTGGAAAATTATTGCTTTGGTTTCCATATTTTTATTTTCGTTCGTTTGTGATGTATTCAACTGAAGAAGAAATTGATATTGTCAATTGGTATAGCGCCGGTAATAGTTTATGGCGCGTAAGGGACTTATTTTCTGTGTTCAATAAAATTAAGCGAAACCGCGGCCGAATTTAATCTCTTCATCATAACCTAAAAGCATACTATTTACTGTCGCTTTTATTAAACTCTAGAATGATAATACCAAATGCGTGCGCATGTTATTTCGGTTGCATAAAACTAGGGGTCCTTCAGAAGATTTTTGTCATTTAAAAGTAGACATGCTAAATGAATAGCACTGTATATGCCTAGGCTGGGAAAATACTGCTACTGACTATGAAACGCTCTGACCACAACTTGAAAAATGTGCGAATGTGTGTCTTCAACCCAATTTCGCCTACTTAAACTTACAAATACCGTTTCGAAAACTTCGAATTTGATGCGCTCCGTACATTCCTCCCCAAAATATTTCACATAACACAAATTTATTAGAAATATTATAGGCTAAAAAATCCGTTTTTTTTCCTATATTCGATTCATTCGCTAGTAAAATTCGATTATTTATAGCTAAAGAAGTTTTACGCTTCGACATAAATTCCGAACTTTTTTTTTCTGCTTTTCTAAATCTTTTCATATTTATAGCATCAACATTTATTATGAAGTTTAAAGTGGTTTCGATGCAATCTATTTTCCAATAATACAACTACAATTTTTTTCGACAATCTCACATGCTATTATCCGATTAATTATATATAAAGGATGGAGAAGTGAACTGACGTTTCTACATTTTTTTACTCTGTAATAGCACCTTCCTATTATGAACTAAACGCAATCATAAAATGATTAATTGGCTCAATTTAGTATTTTTTCCTTCGTAGTATTAAGATCATAAATTTTGATTCGGAGGTATTAATGTATTTTTTATCAATACATTATCGTCCTAATCGTGGTAAAATGTACCGTTCGACTTGTATTTCAATCACTAATTGATAACGAACTTAATGGATAGAATTGTAACACCCTCCACTTTGCTTGTACCTTTAATTACAGCGGCACATTAGGCCCCATTTTTGTGCCACAATCAAGACATCCATTTCCTGGATTTTTAACTACGGTTGATTCTGCGCGTAGGACCAAATTACCTTAGGTGTGATCCATCCCATTAGATGATTCTTAATCCATGTTACAGTAACTTGTATAATAATCGCTCAATTTTTCTTGAATTGCAATAAGAGAGCATCTAGGCCACATTTGAAATTAGTAGTAGGTATTCAAAGAATTCTTCATAGAGTCATTTTAGCTACTTCGGCTTCAGGTGTAGACATTGATACGGTAGAAATAGTATCGAAAGTAGGAGCCGGATTCCAAAGTGCAGTCACGAAGATTCGATGCACCGTGAAAATGACTTACTTTGTGGGATTTTTAAGGTTTCAATTGCAATATACGGAATACCTTCAATCTACCTTGCCTCCCCTTGTCTAACTAGGGA